GCAGCGCAGCCTCCGAGAAGATGCGCGGCACTCCCTCCGCAGCGAGTTCTGCTGGCGCTCCGCTGGAGCGAACGCAGACTCATCGACGACCTCTTCCCGAGTCGCGAAGTCCCGGACATGCGAGCCCGGATTTTTTCCGGTTCGGGGCTCCCGAAAGTCCCGGCCCTTTCCCCAGAGCCAGTTTTTCATCGCGAGGAGGAGGAGGAGGAGGAGGAGGAGGAGGAGGAGGAGGAGGAGGAGGAGCCCCGAAGATGTCGAGGGCCCCGGGAGGCCGCCAGCGGCCCAAAGCCGCCCGTCGTGATCCCTTTCGGGACGCCGGCGGGTCTGGGACTGCGCGGGCTCGCCCGCGAGGAGGGGGCGACGAGATCCGTACACGCCCACTGCTGCCGGCCAGGCCCGTCCGGGCCCAGGGGCGTCTTCGGAGGCGCTCTCGCCGAGGTCGGCGGCGGGGGGCGCTCCTCCCCCCCTCCCCCCTCCCCCCCCGCTCGCCCCTCTACTTCCCTCGTCCCCCTCCTCCTCTGCCTCCCTCGCCCCCCTCTCCCCCCGCCCTCCCTCCTCTACCTTTTTCGTCCTCTTCCTCCTCACCATGCCGATGCGCTCCGCCCTGCGGAGGAGCCGGTTCCCCCTGCCACGCGTTGGCAGGCGATCCATCCTGCTGGGGAGCCAGCCGCCCGTCATCCCTGGGGTGGCGGAGACCCCGCGGTGGTGCAGGTCCCCCTTTGCACCCCTGGGGTCCTCCTCCTCCTCCTCCTCCTCCTCCTCCTCCTCCTGGAGATGTGTCCTGCCGTGGGGCGGACAGGTTCTGCCTGCCACCTCTACAGCGGCGATCTGTGCAGCAGTGGCGCTGGGTCGCCCCGTTCCCCCCTTGGCTGGCGAAGCGTTTTGCCTGTGGAGCCGCCCGCCGCTGTTCCCCCGACGGTGTTGATCCGCCCCGTGGTGGAACAGGTCCTCTAATCAGGGGGCCAACATGTAACGATACTCTGGGGAATACCAGCCCATCCTCACAGCCTGCGGTGAGACAAGCATCCTGCTTTATCGCCTGTAGGGTAGGCGGCGATACGGCTCACCGTGGAGCAACCCCCCGTCAAACCTGCTGTGTCGCGCACCGGAGGCACTCACCTCCAGACGCCCGCCTGCTGAGCCGTTGACGTCTCGGTCGCAGCCTGGCGGCAGTGCAGGCGATCCTGCACAATCTTCTCGTTTTAACCGGTTTCAGGGTGTGCGGGCCTCACATACAGTGCGGGCGTGGCCGCAAGACACCCTCGCAAGAAACCCAACCCTGCAAACCCGCGCGCGAAGTGCGCCCGAGTGAAAGCCCGGAGCACTCTGAAAGCACCAGCCTCTTTGACGGCCGCTGGAAGTCACCACGCAGCGCGCGGAGCGAGGAAAGCCAGGGCACCCTGACGAAAAGCAGATGGTTTCTTGATGTGCGCCCCCACTGTACCATCCACCACCAGGTGCCAACAGAGTTCCCCGTCCGAATCTCCACGTGCACTGCCTCAAGGATGGTAGAGCCCATGTGCCCCAGCCGACTCTCAGGGGTATGCCTGCCTTTCAGGGCATCATCAGTAGTGACACTACAGTGTAGTCCTCCTCCTCCTCCTTTTCCTCCTCCTCCTCCCTCGACCCCTCCTTCTGCCTTCTGCCGCGCCTCCTTCCGCCTCTGTCCTTCACCTCCACCTCCTCCTCCTCCTCCTCCTCCTGGCCAATGCTGTCCTCTCCGCTTCTCCCTGCAGCCCCCTGATGCTTGTGGTTGAGCGGCCCTTTCCGCGTTTACGTCCCTCGCAGACCCCCTTCCCCAAACTCGGATGTCGTGGTTCTGGCGCGACGAGAGTTCTGTGGAGGCCTGGGAATGGGCACCAACACCAACACAGGGGGTTGCCTCCACACGGGGAAGATGATCCTAGATCTCGGTGTTGGTGGTAATATTTCGGTCACCTTGGAAACCAGAATATTACCACCATCACCGAGATCGGGATCTTCTTCCCTCGGTGGATGCACACCGCCGATATTGGCGTTGGTGTCAATCTCTAGGCCTGGGTCCTAACTCGGGTCTCCGGCGGCCGTTCAGGACGACCTCGGCATGCCCAGAGTGCTCTCTCGGCGAGGCGCAGGTGCAGGAGAGCTCTCCGGGAACCGACGGCAACGCCCCCACGCCTCCAGGCACCGACGACACTGCCCGAGCACCGCACAGGTGGGGGAGGAGGAGGAGGAGGAGGAGGAGGAGGAGGAGGAGGAGGAGGGGGGGAGGAGGAGGAGGAGGAGGAGAGGAGGAGGAGGAGGAGGAGGGTGAGGAGGCAACGGAGGGAGGAGGGAGGGAGGAGGAGAGCAGGAGGAGGAGGAGGAGGAGGTCTGCAAGTGCCTCCTCCACGCCGTGGTTGATGAAGTTTCCGACGCGGAGGATGACGCTCAGCAGGGTGCGCAGCTCCCTGCTCGAGCTCACCTGGGGGCGGCCCGCGCGGCCAGCCGGCCGCCTCTCGTCCGGCTTCCGCGAGGCGGGCCCCGCCCCGTGCCGGCAGAGGGGCGGGCAGCAGGAGGGCGAGGAGGGCCCTCAGCCCAGATCTGCGACGCTGGGCGCGACTTCGTGGGGACGAGAGGGGCCCTTTTCGGGCCCCTTCCTGCAGCCCTCGCTGCCCCCCTCATGTGTCGCCCCCCCATGGTACGCGTCCGACGAGGCTTCGATTCTTTCAGCCCGGGCGTTCGTCTTCATTGCGGTCTCTGGGGCCTGTTGCGGGGCCCTGGGGCCATCAGAGAGGGATGCGGGACCCAAGTTGGGCCCCGTGGAAGGGGTCGGGAGCTCCGGGGCCGCGGATAGACAAAAACATATCGGTGGATGTGAAGGGGGCGTGGATGGTGAGACGGAGCAGCCCAGGAGGAAAGCACGGAGGTGGATGAGGCGCATGTGGAAGAGCACAGTAGACGAGGGATGATAGAGCCAAGCACGAAAAGGAGCACTGTGGAGGACGACGAGGAAGAGGAGCAGGAGGAGGAGGAGGAGGAGGAGGAGGAGGAGGAGGAGGAGGAGGGAGAGGAGGAGCAGGAGGAGGAGGAGGAGGAGGAGCAGGAGGAGGAGGAGGATGAGGAGGAGGAGAAGGATGAGGAGGAGGAGGAGGAGGAGGAGGAGGAGGAGGAGGAGGAGGAGGAGGAAGAGGAAGAGCCCACCGCCCAAGCCAGTCCGAGAGGCCCAAGACGGCTTCACGAGAGCCCAGGGCAGCCCACGAGCTTCCAAAAAGCCACCAAATGCCACCAAGACGGCCCCAAGAGGCCACAAAAGGGCTTCAAGAGGACCCGCATGGCTCAAATCAGTGCGCGACCGGCGTGATTTTCCCAAATCACTGTGCAACCGTCGCCACTTTCGTGGGCTCCTGGGAGGCACGGCGGAGCAGCGGAGTAAACGGACTCAACTGAGAACTCGCTGCTCCCTGGGTGGCTGCGAGCCGCGCAACCGTCGCCACTTTCGTGGGCTCCTGGGAGGCCCGGCGGAGCAGCGGAGTAAACGGACTCAACTGAGAACTCGCTGCTCCCTGGGTGGCTGCGAGCCGCGCAACCGTCGCCACTTTGGTGGGCTCCTGGGAGGCACGGCGGAGCAGCGGAGTAAACGGACCCCAACCGAGGCCTCGCTGCTCCCTGGGTGGCTGCGAACTGAACAACCGTCGCCACTTTCTTGGGCTCCTGGGAGGCCCGGCGGAGTCGGGGGTCACGCGCACCAATTTGAGAACTCGCTGCTGTCTGGTATGCTGCGAACTGCGCAATTGTCACCACTTTCGTTGGCTCCTGGGAGGTCCAGCGGAGATGAGGGCAGCGCAGATCGTGGCATATCTGGCAATGTATTATTGTGTATGGGGCGTTCATGCAAATATTCGCCTCGCGTGGAGAGGGGGTTGGGTACGTCTCGGGTAATTCAGCGTTTTTTTGTTACCACCGTTTCCGAAGCTTCTCGGCTTTTCGACCGAAGATGGCTTCAATAGATCCTCGGAGGAGCCACGGGGCGTCTCAAAGGGCCCTAGGAGGGTCCCCAGACGGCCCCAGACTACACCAAGAAGTGTCCAGGGGGGCCCCAGCTGGCATCCAGAGGAAGCCGAGACGGCGTGAGGCTCCCCCCCCTCTTCGGACACATGGGAGGGTGGTGTCTCGCCCAGTGCGCCTGCGGCACTGCTACCAGGATCACCTCATGCAAGATCCAGTCTCTATAAGTGTCCCCCGCGGACCCTCCTCTGAGCGCATCTCTTCCTCCTCCTCCATGCTCGTCCCGAGCCCCCCTCCACTCCCTTCAGACCAGGCGCTGGCCAACTGATGCGGATACATACCATGAAAGAACACCGTTCGCTTCAGAAATCAATGCGAACACGACACGGCGACGTGACTTCATGCGTGTTACATGGTATCGAAGCGGCAAGACGGAAGACTGCGAGATGATATTGGACACTGATAGTGCGATGCAACAAGTTTGCCAGATGAAGTTTTGCCTCTCGGCCAGAAGAACACGACTTCCCCACAATTCAACCTCTCTTTCCACGGTGGAACTGAATCACATAATTCACAACCTGTACTAACGCATGCATGCGTCCGTGCTCAATCAAACGTCCCCATCTTCCGACACCGTGAACCCGAATGGCCCACCACACGGGGCCCTCGCCACGCATTTCCACACCTTCACGCGGAATGACTCGTGAGACCACGCGAGAGGTCGATGTGCGCGAAGACCTGATCGTAAACCATGGCTTATTCGACGCCAATCTGATCCCCCAGCGAAATACCAACACATACGCATCAAACATATTCACCAGGAGCCCAAATCACGGCTGCTCTGCACGACCTCATGTGGCCCACCTGTCGATCAAGGAGCAGGACTCGCATGAGCATGCGCAAATCTGCCATCAATGCATGGATGCTGCGCAAGTGCATGCCGCAATTGTGATACAATTTCCGATGCCGCGTAACGTAACCAGACCCATACAAAACTCATCGTCAACTCTGCTTGAACATCAGCCGTTGCCATCTCAATCTGAAAGCACCACCACTTCTTCACTTATGGTCCCCTTTGGCTGTGAGGAATCGGCCGCCCCGTCTGCGGCGCCCTGTGGGTTCGCACTAACAAGTAACATTTCCACACTTTCCGTTTTTCGCCTCTTCGCGAAAAAATCGAGGACAGACTGCTGTGCACCATTCGCCGGACTCGACGAGGATCTTTTCCTCTCCCATGACGAAAACCTGGCCCTTTCGGAGAGTACGTCGTATTCGAGCTCAAAGCTGCCCCAAGCGTCGAAAGGCTTGGCGCCCAAGCCCAAAGCTGATATACCGCCTGGATCCCTCAAAATATCCGGATTTCTCGACCTCTCCGCCTCAATGAGGCGATGCCGCAGCACGCCAACTTGCCGCTGCAAGTCTTCGAGCCAGTGGGCGCTCGCCAGCCTGCGGGCTTCTCGTTGTGCACTCTGCCCTTGCGGCGGGTCCTGTGTGGCCCTCACGGATACGCGAAGCTTCGTGATGGGCTCGGCTGTTCTGCAACCGCCGCCGACCGCTGCTCCTCCACACTCGTGCAGCCGTCCGTATCCATGAATGCCGGGGCCTCCGAACATGCTGGAGAATGCTGGACCTGGCAGCGAAAACCAGGGGGAAGGCCCACTTGCCTGGGACATGCCTCCTGCGGCTCCACTTCGCACGGCTCTCTTCCCTTCGGCTTGGTCTTGGCGCAGCTGCCTCTGCATCTCGGGCCCGTGCAGCCGTTCCTGCTCGGCTGTGCCACCACGGCGATTCAGGATCTTGCACGATGCGAAACGACTTCGCTGCGCCATTTCGGTGGAATTTGAAAGGCGCTTGGACGAACAGTTGGTTTCCAGTCCGGGAGTCACCCGATACTCGACCATCGGCGCTCCATCCACCTTGTGATTTCCATTGTCAACCTCCTTGTCGCGAGTCTTCAACCACTCCTCGAAAACGCGTATGGCTTCTAGCATGTCCTTGGCAGAACTCGACGATGTGGACTCTTGTTCTGATGCGCCTGTAGCAGCCAAACTTGCGGCAGCTACCACCACTGGGTGACGTTTCGCCCTTTCCAGCATTGCTCGGACCGTCCAATACTGCTTGTAGCGTGACCCAGGCTGTTCAATCAGCAGCAGCGTCTGCAGAGCTGTGGATCGATCCTTGAACCCGCAACCCTTAATGCTAGTTGCAGGATCCCGGTCGGTGAAGATGGAATGCTCCTCTTTCGTCCCGATTCCATGCAGCCGGTCAAATTCCGCGGCTTCGGACATCTCGCCTGACATGCGCCGATATGTTTTTTCCAATCCGCGGCTCCAGGGATCCCGACCTCTTCCCAAGGGGTAGTTTTGCGCCACGGATTTTCCATGGCCCCGGGGCTCGAAGCCGAAATGAAAGGATAACGCCGGGATGGAATAATTATCGTCGGAGATTGGGGCTGTCATCAACGTGCACACCAAAATCTACTCATACCGCAACTCCCTGGACCCCTCCCAGGGTACGTTATGACGTGGATTTCGAGGCGAAATCGAGGCAAGGGCAGCGGTATCGGAACCTTCTTCTCCGCTGACCTCCTCTTCCTCCTCCTCCTCCTCCTCCTCCTCCTCCTCCTCCTCCCCAAGCCCACCCTCACGTTGCCCCGTCGCTTTCGGGTCATAACTCGGCTCTCTGGAAGCAAATCGGGACGATTCAACACCCTCGACCGGACGCAGCTGATGGAAACCACCCTGGGGTTTCGAACACATCGGAAATTCCCCAAACACTCCTCTCATACAGAAGGGCTGCCGGAATAAGGAACGCTGAATAAGGAACAAAGCCCTGTCTTAGTCCCAGAAGCGCCTGAATGCACGAGGCGGGCTAGAGGAACGGCCACGGAATGACCGGAGGAAGAGCGAGCCCCTTCCGAACCCAAAGCGGTCCTTCTTTCAGCGTCTTGGCTGTACCCTCGGCCGGACGTTTTCTGGGGCGTTCCCGGGCCACCTTGGGGCATTCCTGGGCCACCTTGGGCCCGTCTTGGGGCCATCCTGGCGGCCTCTGGGACGGTCTGGGGGGGCAACTGGGGCAGTCTTGGAGCCCTGTTGGGCCGTCTTGGGGCCCTCTCGGGTGCCTCTTGAGGGGACGCACGGTCGCCACGGCCCTCAATAGATCTAACATTCGACGTATCCTCCCTTTGATTCGAAGGGGGAGCAAACTTTTTGGGGCAAATCAGTTCTGCAGTCGATCCCCTACTCGAGTCTTGGTTGTACCCCATCAGGTTTTCCCCGCAACCCACGGCCAGGAGAGCCCAGAATCGGATCGACAAGTCGGATCGGCGATCGCAATAAATCGGATCGGCGGAAATCGGCAGCCGAGTCGGGAAAAGTCGGATCGGCAGGAATCGGCAGGCTAGTAGGCCTCCGGCGAGAAGTCGGATCCCAAACCGCAATCCGGAGTCGAATGGCATCGGAATCAGAAGCCATCGGAGTCGAATCGAACCGAATCGTAGGAGTCGAAACGAGCCCCCCCAGACATGCGACGTCCTGATTTTTGCAGGGCGGCGCCCCTGGAAGTCTCGACCCCTTCCCCAGGGCCAGCTCTTCGTCCCGAGTCGTTTTTTGACGGTCCCGAGGCCCTGGCGAGGGCCCCCCGGGGCCGACAACAGCCAAAAACTTCCCGCCCTGATTCTTTTGGGACGCGACCATGTCTGGGCCTGCACGGCCCTCCAGTCGCTCCTCAGTGGCACAACGTGGCCGCTGCCTGCAGCGCCCTCGGCGGGGCCCGGGCCCCCGCCCGGCCCTTGGAAGGCCTCGCTGCCCAGCACCGCCGCCGCGGCACGGGGGGGAGGGGCCTCTGCGGCCACGGGCCTGGGCCTTCCCAAGACGAAGCCGGGACGAGGACACATCCTCCCAGGACGAAGCCAGGACCAGCACCAGTCGGCCCAGGACGAAGCCGGGACGAGGACACATCGGCCCAGGACGAAGCCAGGACGAAGCCCCTCGAGGCTCTCCTGCGACGAAGCCAGGACCGGGGGCAAAATCGGGCGAGGACAAATCGAGAATCCCGGAGATCCAGTGGCTCTGGAGGACGCCTCGGGCGCCGCGGCCTCCTCAGAGCGCTCCGGCACGCTCCGAGAACGCTCCGGAACGCTCCGTGTTCCGACTCGTCCCCTGCCCTGAAGTCCGGGCGCCGCCGTTTCTCCACACCGGGCGTGTCCGCCCAGCTTCGGGCCCCCCCGTGGGCCACCTCCTCCTCCTCCTCCTCCTCCTCCTCCTCCTTTTCCTCCTCCTCCTCCTCCTCCTCCTCCTTTTCCTCCTCCTCCTCCTCCGCAGAAAGCGGGGGTCTGGGGCTCCGGTCGTGCTGCCTCGCGATGCTGCACTTCCTCGGCTCGCAGCGTCGGGTCCCAGGGCAGCCGCCGAGGGGCGGAGCCAGCGGGGGGCGCCAGCGAGGTGGGGGGCGCCACCGAGGCGGGGCGCCACGGCGGGGAGCCACCCAGGGGCGCCGCAAAGAGCGGGGCCACCGAGAGGGGGGGGGCACCGAGGGGGGGTGGGCCCCCAACGAGGGGAGCCGCCAGGAGGGGAGTCCGCCCGAGGTGGGGGGCCACGGAGGGGGGGGGGGGGGTCCGCGGACGGCGGGCCGGCTGCTGCGCCCGAGCGCCCCCCTCCCTCCCACCTCTTCCCCACCCCCCCCCCCTCCCCCCCCCCCTCTCCTCCCCTGCCCCCCCCTGCCTCCCTCCACCCCCCCCCCCCCCCCCCCCCCCCCCCCCCCCCCCGCCCCCCCCTTTCCCCCCCCCCCCCCTCCCCCCCTAGATCGTTCTTGGACGGCCCCTGGGGCCCAGGGGGAGAAGCAAGGCTCCTGCAGGATCCTGCGCCCCAGCCTGGGTCAGTGCGCCCCTGGCTCAGCAGGATCCTGCAAGAGTCCGCGCCCTGACTCACCCCCGTTTGCCTTGATCCCCGCCTCTAAAAAGGAAGGAAGGAAAACCACATAAAAGCATAAACTTTCGACGGCCCGCGCGGTTTTCTTGGATCTGCGCTGGGCCCCCCTCCCTGGCGCGCGGAGCGCGCCAGGGGCGGCGCCGCCAGGCTCCGGGGGGCCCCAGCGCAGATCCAGGAGATCCGCGCGGAGCGTCGACAGTTTATGTTTTTTTTTTCTTGTGTGTGTGTGTGTGTGTGTGTGTGTGCTGTGTCCTCTTCGAGTCTCGTGAGCCCCGACGACAGATGGCTTCTGGGGCTCCCGTCGTGGTGTCTCGCGCTGCTGCCGTGCGCCTCGCAGCGTCGGGGCCCCTCCAGGGCGGGCCGGCTCTTCGCCCAGGGGCGGCGGCATCGTTCTCGTGACGGCCCCCTGGGGCCCCCGGGGGGGGGGAGGGAGCGCCTGCGCGAGAAGCACCGCGCTCCACGAGCACGCGCCCGGCCCGCCTACACGAGGAGCACCAGGCTGCAGGGGGATTTTGGGCGAAAAATAAAAGATACCCAAACAATACCCCCCAAATACTCAAACATAGTCAACATTATCCCGGCAAAGCAACCTAACAGCGATGTGTAGGAGCACATCTGGAAGCATTCCCCTTAAGATTCAGATGAGAATCCTGTTGTAAAATTCTGCTGTTCTCGCAGTCGTAGTCGCATTCGCGATGGCAGTCGCAGTGGCAACGGCAGTCGCAGTCACAGCCTCAGCCTCAGCCTGCCTCAGACTCAGCCTCAGCCTGCCTCAGCCTCAGCCTGCCTCAGCCTCAGCCTCAGCCTGCTTCAGCCTCAACATCAGTCTGCCTTCAGCCTCGGCCTCAGCCTCAGCCTGCCTCTGCCTCAGCCTGCTTCAGCCTCAGCCTCAGCCTCAGCCTGCCTCAGCCTCAGCCTGCCTCTGCCTCAGCCTCAGCCTGCCTCTGCCTCAGCCTCAGCCTGCTTCAGCCTCAGCCTCAGTCTCAGCCTGCCTCTGCCTCAGCCTGCTTCAGCCTCAGCCTCAGCCTGCCTCAGCATCAGCATGCCTCAGCCTCAGCCTCAGCCCGCCTCAGCCTCAGCCTCAGCCTGCTTCAGCCTCAGCCTCAGTCTGCCTTCAGCCTCGGCCTCAGCCTCAGCCTGCCTCAGCCTCAGCCTGCATCAGCCTCAGCCTCAGCGTCAGCCTGCCTCAGCATCAGCCTGCCTCAGCCTCAGCCTCAGCCTGCCTCAGCCTCAGCCTCAGCCTGCTTCAGACTCAGCCTCAGTCTGCCTTCAGCCTCGTCCTCAGCTTCAGTCTGCCTTCAGCCTCAGCCTGCCTCAGCCTCAGCATCAGCCTGCCTCAGCATTCAAAGTGTGGCCCGGGAATGGAGTTCTGGGAACTCGAAGACCACGAAGTGGCCTACAGTTGGCTCCGGGCATTCAAAATGTGGCCCGGGAATGGAGTTCTGGGAACTCGAAGACCACGAAGTGGTCTACAGTTGGCTCCGGGCATTCAAAATGTGGCCCGGGAATGGAGTTCTGGGAACTCGAAGAACACGAAGTGGCCTACAGTTGGCTCCGGGCATTCAAAATGTGGCCAAGGAATGGAGTTTTGGGAACTCGAAGACCACGAAGTGGGCTACAGTTGGCTCCGGGCATTCAGAATGTGGCCCGGGAATGGAGTTCTGGGACCTCGAAGACCACGAAGTGTGTAACTGTTTGCTTAAAACGACTTCCGCGGGTTCTCCCCGGCACCCGCCCAGACCCTCCTGGGGAGTCAAGATGCTCTCTTTTGACACTACTAGAAACCTATCAGCCTTCGCTGTTAGGTAAAATCGTCCCCATACTATTTTTTGACTATTTAATATTCCTCCTGTAGAGGGGCAGGCCCGACTTAAGAGTAGATGGGGTCGGAGGATCGCGCCGCATCGGCGACGCATCGTCGATGCATCGGGGATGCACCGGTGACGCGTCATCGACGCCGGCGACGCGCTTTCGGCGGGCCGCGTGGCCTTCTTGCCTCGGCGCTGGACCGCCCTCCCTGGCGCCGGAGGCGCCGCCCAGGGGGTCCCCACTCCCGCGCGGCCCTCCGAAAGCCCACGCTTCCCAGACCCCCGACGTCGTGTTTTTTCCACAACGTCGACCCCCCGAGGTCTGGACCCCTTCCTCTGGACCGGTTTTTCATCCCGAATCGTTCTTTGGCGGCCCCGAGGCCGGGTAAGGGCCCCCGGAGGCCGAGCATAGCGGAACACCTCCCGTCGTGTTTTTTTTTGTTTTCGCAGCGCGAGGAGGTCTGGGTTCGGCGCCCTGCTCGTCTTCGAGGCCTCGGGGAGGGCCTCGGGAGCCCGAGGAGGAGGAGGAGGAGGAGGAGGAGGAGGAGGAGGAGA